TAGATGTATTGATCTGCACCTGAGAATATGAGCTTCTCCTTCATTATGTTGACTTCCCGACTGGACCGCCGCGTCACAGCGCTCAGCATGATCTGTTCCGGGTTATAGTTCTGCATCCCACTTAACTTCCATCTGTTGAAGCACAAACAGACAGAAAACCTTACCAACACATGGAGGCCGTGACTGCAGCTGTGCCATCGCACTTTTTAATTCAGTAATAACGGTACACAGGGTAATCTACACTTAACAGCAGCACACTGGTAAAGAAGGGATAAACTGGCCTTGGGGTGTCGTGCAGAAAAAGCACAAGGAGGACAGACAAGGAGGCAGAAACAAAGGCCAAGGCAGACGCAGCAGTTACCTGATCATATGATAGCTGACAGATGCCAGGGGGCAGCGGAGGAAGGTTGCATGCAGATCAGGCAGAGCACAGGACAAAGGAAGAATGTCAGAGGAGAGAGAGAGAGAGGACAGGGAGACAGCGTAGAGGAGAAACAACACCCAGAAGACAAAAGAAAAGAGGAAGAAAAGAGCAGAGTGAACAGTCAGTGTAGCAGCAGCCGGCTGGACGAGGCCGTGGCTCAGCTCAGGCCCAAACACACTCACAGGATCAACACTGAATACTGTTTAAAAACCACCACATTTACTGCGGTGAAGCCTGACTCTAGTTTATACATACAAGGCTTTATCACATGCCTGGAGGACTCTGTGATGCACAACATGTTTTGTTTTGAATGTTAAAGCTGTTAACTGTGTGTTCAGGGTGTTACTGTGATGTTTTCATGCTGTACGCTGCACAAATAAAACTGTATTTGTCTCGATTCTCGTGGACTAATCGTCGCAACTTGAGTTCTTTGAAGACGTTTCATCCAAGAGGCTTCATCAGTTCTGACTGACTAGTTAGGAGTTCCACATACTGATATCCTGAAGGAGACATTAACACGGGGGTCTCAAATCCTGGTCCTGGAGGGCCACAGTCCTGCATGTTCTAGATGCTTCCCTCTTCTAACACACCTGATTCAAATGATTAGGATGGTTATCAGGCTTCTGCAGAGCTTGATGATGAGCTGCTGGAAGAGGAGAAACATCTAAAACATGCTGGACTGTGGCTCTCGAGGACCAGGATTGGAGACCTCTGCATTAACAGCTGAGTTTCGGTTTCAGTTGGGGGTTTGTTGCTCCTCCCCTTCGTTATGTGGGTCGTTAGTGCTCCCCCTGACACAGTGGGGTTCGTTAGGGTCTCTGTGGCTCGGTGTGGATGTGGGTATATATCTGCCCCAGGAAGATGAGAAGAGAACAAGCATGACCTGGATGACTGAGAATCTTCACAGACATTTGTCTCGATTGTTTTAATCACTCTCGACTGTGATCATTAATCTCAAGTGAATTATTTAGTTATCTCGGGGAAACAAAGCTTGTTTTTTAAATTAATGATAATATGTTCATTTATCTCATTATCTTGATACCACAAATGGCTTATTTGTCAAAATAAGATAAATAACTCTAGTAAATGGATGTCATCGTCTTGAGGAGACAGGATCATCCTGCAGAACTTTAAAATGAGTCTCTTGTTTATGTGATCACAGCTGATTTCAGTCTTCAGGATCACTGAGGTGCACTCGCAGGTGAAGTCACATGAATGATGATCTGAATGTTATCTCCAACAGAACGACACGATGCAGTTTCTGTCTGTGTTAGACTCTGATCTGATGCGCTGCTCAGTAGTTTGACATTTTCAGAGGAAGCCAGCTGCTAGTTGCCAAGATGCATCCCTGGGGGGGCAATTATTCATTTTTTATTTATTTTATTTTTTTGCAATCAGAAATGACGGATACATTCATAAAGCACTTCACTGAGCTGTTGTTAAAGCTGCAGTCTGCTGGAATCTGTAAAGGCCAGTAAATAAATACATAAACCTAAAACACAAGCTCCTCCTGTCATACGAGCCAAGCTGACGGTCAGCATGTAGCTGTGGCTTCACCCAAACGTCCACTCCACGCTCTCCGGTCAAAGAGCTTCATTAACCCTTTGTATCACCACCACATATCTTTTGTGAGATCAAGTCCCATCTCAGATTGAAATCATAGTTTTATTTCTCATTTAAATCTCATTTTAACTTGTTGTTTACATTTTCCATCAGTGTTTGATTAAGTTTGACTTGATCATGCTAACTACATGCTACACGGCTGTTTTATGTGTTTCCAGGATGACGGCTCCATCTAAGACTTCACATACGTATCGTACATGTTCACAGGAAATCTTATTACTAATAAGAGGAGCTGAGCCCTCCTCTGACCCTCTTGTGGGTCTCACCCTGCTGCCATCACGGCACTCCTGATCTGTGAAGAGGAAACTACGAGAAAACACGCTTTCACAACATAACTGACTCGCCATCGTGAGAACATGGCATTAAAATACAACCACAAGCTTAACTGAGTGTTGGGGTTCATTTAGAGGTGAATATTTAATTTTCTAATGGTAATTTAGGCGACCCCACAAGTTCAGTTCCTGGTTTCTGATCTTTTTAGCTCGTGATCGCTGAAAATAAAAGAGTCCTGTGATGTTTTAACATAGCTGCCCACTGGTTGTGACTAACGAAGGCAGACGAGGCTAACGTAGTTAAATGTAGACATCAACAAGGAAAGTATTAATAGTTTTGAAGTGGATGATATATTTTGGGGAAAGGCGGCGTTGCATGTTTTCATGTTTCCAATCAGTGTTGAGCAGCATTTAAATCAAACCAAGGACAGCTGTTGGGTCGGTCACTGGTTGTGCCGACAGCCAGTGTGAGGCTTTCTTTGTTCATGCAAAGGTCCATAAATTCACTTTAAGGTCTAAAACAGGCAGAAACTGCGTCATCGTGGAGCGCTCTGTTGACATCCGGCTTCCCTACAGTGGTGCACATGCTCACCACTCGTGTGCATGTGAGGAATGCATAAACCTACTGCGCATGTATGAAACAGAGTTCTCCCAGTGGACTCCAAGCAGTCTAGAATTAGTATAATACCGATAACTATGGGCCTGTGGAGTCCACCAGGGACTATAATTAAAGCTTAAGAGGTGAACAGGCCAAAGCTGGTAAAATGTAATAATTGGCTAGAAAAAAGCAGAAACTAAATGTATTCTGTGTGGCAGGAGGAGCATGTTTTCTGCCTTCCTGTCCTGTTAATCATCTTTTCTCAGCTTTCTCCTCCAACCATCAGACCCACCCTCCTGTTGAACCCACTCAGCTATACGATGATCCTACAAACTGTGAACCACAAAGTTAACGTCATAAAGTCAAAGCTGTGATGCTCATCTGGAGGAGCAGAACTAAGAGCTGGAAACATTTCTTTATTTGACATCATTATTATTTCCTTATGAAAGGTGTTGATGCATCGTGACATAACCGTACTTACTTCTGGAAGCAGAAGATCCCTATGACTATGGCGAGGGAGACCAGATCTGACGCGATCCAGATGAAGTTGTAAGCGTTCTGGCTCTGCAAGACAAAGAGGGAAAGAGGAGTAGTTTCCAGTCGACACCACTGGAGGTCGCTGTCAGCACTCGTGAAGCTCACACGAGGCAGTGACTCAGGCAAAAAGCTGCTGGACAGCTGCTCTTTACTTCAGACCTGCGCCCTTGTCTGAACGTGTCTCGGACTCTTTCCCAGGGTCCTGTTGTTCTCCAGCGACACGCTGAGCTGAAGTCTGCCGCTGAGCTCCCTCATATTTCTCGGCGTCCTTGCCCTCGAGTCTTGCTGGGCCCTCGTCAGTCTCTGTCCTCTCTCCTGCTGTCCTCTCGTCTCGCTGCGTGACCTTGTCTGCCTGCCTGAGTGTGTGTGTGTGTGTGTGTGTGTGTGTG